CAGTGTGATATTATCTGAGAATGAAGGGCTTCGCCACTTGCAAGGCAGAATTGGCAGTGCTCGCTGCTGTCTGCCTCTGGGACCGATCCGTCTTGCTGTGCGCACATTTGCGAATTGCCAACTTACATTTCCAGTATATGTCCTAGTTCGGCGACGGAAGGCGCCCCCGTTTGTGATCGGTCACCCGCATAACACTCAATTACACCGCATGATCGCAAAGCGGGGGCGCGTCGTGTCGTCGAACTAGGGGACAAAACGCAAATTTGAGTCGTAAAGTCCCTCCGGGGGATACGAGAATGTGTACTTAACCAGACAGCAGTACCATATGCAGAGAGCAGCGAAAGCTGGCCATCCTGCGCTCAAGTCATAACACAGTGATTTTTTGGGATTAAATCACATCGTGTACATGCTGCAGGTCCGTGAATTTCATTCTGAGCACCTGGTGCCCTCCATATGAGCATGAAGTTAGTATGACACTGTGGGCAAATGCCAAGGCATGTGGACATCACATGCGCAATACGCATGTGATGACCATGTGTTCGGCATGCTCCGAAAAAAGGCTTTTTGGGCCTGGATCGATGCATGCCGAACACATGTGTCATCACATGCGTATTGCGCATGTGATGTCCACATGCCTCGGCATTTGCCCGCAGTGTGAATGACCCCTATAAATATTTGAAGCCGATTCTCTCATGTAGTAGAAGATCTCGTTGAAGACAGTGAAATATTGTATCTGCTTTATTGTAGTGGTGCTAGGCAAAATGTGAGGAGCCCATGCCCTGCGGAATTGCAAGGCAATTCTAGCCATATAGTTTTTGTATGTATAAATTATGAATTGAGGACAGGGCGGCCATCCTCGCCGCGGGGATCAAAAATTGCTCAAAACGGAAAAAAATGGGCCGCGCCGTAGTATATGTTCCGCAAGAAGCTGTAAGCCGACTTGAACATTTTCCTGTCATCTCACGTCCTCGCGGATCCTTGGCGCGCTTCGGCCACCAGCGCTGCAAGATTTTCCATTGTATGCCCCAGGTGCAGGGGCTCAGAGACTGAGACTTGCGTCTGAATGCGTTCGAATGTAGCATAAAATGTGACTCCCGTTATACACCCACGTGGGACAACCTGCGGCAAGTCGAGCCCTTCTTCCCGCCTACCCCCCTCTCAGATTCTCGTCTGCCCTCGGGTCGCGGGCCGCCCGTCCTGCACATCGACCCGCCAACACAAGCTCACTGCTTCGGCCTCAAAGCAACGTCTCGAACCGGCGAGTCGTGCGGCGCCGAGGATGAACATCGATGCTTCAGCAAGGAATTCCCAAGCGAGAGGGGATATATTATGCTTACGTGGTCCACAGCCTGAACTCATCTCTCGCCTAAGCACCAGGTCGCATCGTCGGCCATTATGTCTTCGCCGAGACTGGAGCGCAGTGAGGTGGATCGGGTGCATATGGGGGCGTGGCTTTGCTCTGTGCGGACTACAGCAGACTACCGGCGGGCAGGGTGCACTTCTGTCGCCGAGCGGCGCTCGCTTTGTCCGCATGCTCGTACGTCTTATCCCCCTCTTGCGCACGGGGACGTGCTGCGCTCTCTTCAGGCCTTGGTCATAATATCTGCCGTCCTATCCACATGACCAACTTTCCTGGGACTGTGCGCCACATATATGGCGCGAAACGAATCCCAAGCGGAGTAGTTGCCATCTCAGTGATGGCCCTCTTCAGGTACCAACTGAACTCAGACCTATTATTATTCACCTACCTGCGCATTTTCACACCTGATCTATCATCTCCCCCATCACGCCGCCTAAGCAGCTGTGAAATTGATTTGCAAATCAGTGCAGAGGTGCATCCGCTCAGTCGTCGCCGCCTCAGTCATCTATCGAAAGAAGGGCTCGTGTAGCGGCACCGCTGCAGCACTTTCTGGCATAACAGGGGGTCTGGGCGTGCTAACGGCGAACTTCGAAATCGGAGATGATGGTCATGGGCAAGCGGGGCACTGGATATGTAGGCGCATTTCGTGTTGAGTATCCATACCACCGGTGTTGAGCAGCCTATGCTTACAGGTCGTGTTGAACCCAGGGGAAGACATCGGCGCGTCAACGTACTACAGCATCGCGGATCAGATCGTCACCTTCGAAAATACTTGCGCGCAATATCTGACACAGGCACCGTATGTTTGGGTCTCCCCGCTGATGGTGGATCCAATTCTGACGTCCCCGCGTTGTAGGATTCCGCTCCCTCACGCCCAACAGCAATCCGTGATCATACACACCTTCCCCAACACTACGGCAACGCTATCCTCAGTCGTCCAGACCCTCGAAACGGCGGGAATCGCCAGTGTCTACATCACGAATCTTGATATTGCGACAACAGATGTATATCATGGTTTTGGAAGTGATTGGACCACGTTTGTCCAGGATGTCGATGCGCTGTAGCTATAAGTCTTGTGGTTCAATACTGTGAAATCAACCCAAAGATAACGAGTGCATGTTTTTAACCAACTTCCGCAATTACGCTGAACTGAGACGTTAACAGGATAGTCTTCACCCAAAGCCGGTATCGAGTCCTTTCCCTTCGTTGCACCAGCAGCAGTTAATTTCCGAGTGGATTGATATTTTGATCAGAACCGCAATAATTGAGTTTGCGTATGTTGTGAGATAAGCGCACAGGTCCATCCATTCATGATCCCGGCGAGTGCCACGATGCAAATGCTTGCCGTTGACACGCGAGGACTCAGGAAAAAGTTCAAGGAGTGGGACAGTTTTGAGAACTGCTGGGTTGGGCCTGGCTGACAAGGGTGGCGAACAAATGAAGATTGCAGACAGAATGGAGTTATTGGTGGCAGACACAAAGGCGTAGCAGAACGGTGATAGGCCCGCTGGGTGAACACCCGTGAAATCTTCCAATATTACACGAGTTGTTACCCGTTACAAGCGTTAATAGTCCTAATATATCATACTCTAGAGGCTATTGCTGAGGCCCGAAGCAGTTAGCAATGGGCGCATACGTGTACTGTTGAACACTGACCCGCCTTGCATGACGGTACCACTATGGGTCAGATTACAAGAGGGTTACCATTCTTTAGCTAAAGAATGTCTTACCACCTTAGACGGGTTGGGACGTTCCGCGCGGCCCGGAACAAGGGCGAGAACACGTAAACATCCGTTCAGAAGTGGGATTCAATGGGAGGCATGCGATTGGGCAGACAGGACGGACATCACGGCCGAGGCGGGCCCGTTTGTCATCCTAGTCCGGTATGATCAGATATCGTTGATCCGACATCCAGCGGCCGAAGTTCGGTGACAGGACAATGGCCATATGGGAGGCTGTGTTCGGGCCTAGGTCCGGATACATTCCCCATCACATCAGAGTTTGCCGATGTCAAGGCCCACACAGGGGCTCTGGCGTTGCTGCACTCAACTAGCCAATGGCGGAGATGGCAATTGACAGAACAATGGGCAAGGAAGTAGACGCCATTGTTCTACGTCATCATAAGCGTTCGGGCTATGCGGGCAGGACGTCTTAAACTATACCCTGGTTGCAGTTTATCAGCCAAATATATCTTTAGCTAAAGATTCGACACACAAACTAACGTTCAACAGGTTATGTTTTATACCAAATAGGTGTGGTGCCTGGTTGCCCACCTTGTTCCGTTTATCCGTTTGTACTCAAAGCCTCATATTATTTATTATTCCCGTTTTGGATTGCCAGTTTGTATAAATACCAGAGGTTTCTAGGTGGAACGCCAGTGGATCCTTCCCTTTCCTGAGACTAGTACAGACTCTGTGTCTGTGCGCTTCTGGGAAAGCTTTGAATTCATTCGGAATACCATTGGGAAGCTGTAGAGTTTTCTATTAGTGTTTCAGTGTTTGCAACATATTGGTCTTTTGGACAAAGTTTGGAATAAGGAATCTGGATTAAGGGAACGTCTGGCATCTGGATTAAAGGGATTACCGATTACCTGAACTTTGGACATTTGGCGCACGGAGCAATAGAAGAACTTGTGTCTTTATTGGCTTTTAGCAATATTTGTGAGCTTGGAACTAAGGAAATAACACAACTATCGATCGTAAGATCACCCAGGAAGTAATTCCAACAACCCGCGAAACAAACCCAACTTTCCGTACCCTCTAGTCTGCGTATAGCGCCTGGAACGGTCGAGATTGTCGATTGTTCGTCTTTAGCTAAAGAATCGTTTCGAAGTATTTACAATCAAATTGCACACAACCTTTATACAGTTGGAACCCCGAACCTCGCAGTCTGATTATCGGGATATAGTGGTGTTTTTGGTGTATTTTAGTGGTTCATATTGGATCACTATTTGCATTGATTTCATACGTGTTCACATAGTCAGCGTTTCAATGGCACACCACGAACTAAGAAGAGTATAGCGGATTGATGAGCGACATTTGTATCAAACCACGAGTCCAGCAGCTGCACGGAGTGGTCAATCGATATGCAGACCTATCGGACACTCCTAGGCATATTTCTACGCAAAGAGTGTCGCCACGATGGAAGACAATATCGATGATTACCGAAGGGCTTTGGAAACGCAAAGAGCTAACGAGAGGAAGAGATCACGACTATAACAATTTGTGGATACATAGACGCCATACCGTGCTTGAAGATGCCTGAGCACGCCAAACGCGCGCTTGCAAACATGAACACAGATGAATTCCTGCCGCGATGCACCTTGACAGCCGCGGGACATAGGACGACTGCAGAATGGCTTCCTGGGTGGATAGAGTTCGCCTCATTAGGGCCAGTCAGAGTAGTCGGTTTTGAGGCGGTTTTGACGGTCTGATTTATTTATCGTGGGATATTTGCAGAACTGTCTCGATTTACAGAACCGACTTGCGCGATCTTCTGCCGTCTCGGCTCTCCCGTCGGCGTGCGCTCCGCACGCCCACCTCCGACGTTGTTGTCCCGGTGCACGTTCGCCGTTTCGCACATCCCGCTCCCGCGCGTCAAGCCTACTCCAACTTCACGCACAATATCCATATGGTAACGAGCCGTCGTCGACCAGTGGAAGGTCGTACTCAAAGTGTCGGTACCATCTGCGTTTGGGCATCCGAGGAAGACAGGGGTTCGATTCCCCTCGGCGGAAGAATTTTTTTCTCTGTGTCCTCCAACCTAATCCAGCCAGTTAATCCTCACAATAGCCCGCGAAGATCTTCACTCACTTCGGAGACAGACAAGGGTGGAGTTACGCAAGTGCCGTTCACATCAGCACCAAATTACAGGCTTTCGGTCGTTTGGTAATAGCTTTCCTTGCGCTTCCCCGATCTGCATAAACGAGTTCCAGGTGCGGAGCGACCGGACTTGGCTCGCGCCCGGCCCGCACTCGGTCTGGGCCATTCTGAGATTCCGTTTGATCTAGTTTTCCTGCGCTGCACGTATCTCCCGTGCTCGCTGCGCTCTCTGACGCCGCGACATTTCTTCAGCTGACATCGCCCTCCCAATGCACCCAATCAACAATGGCGCCTTCACTTTCAGTACCGATGATATTCGGACTCGTATTCTGCTGGAAGGCGTCACCCAACGATACTATAATTAATGCAGATGTGCGTCTCTCTTGATGGTTGTTCACCTGTCGAGGTTCTACTCAGCGGTCATAAGGTCCAATTGCGGAGAGGCCCGCACCTGCTTTCCGTATCGCAGAAGCCGCATGACTAGAAATGCAGGCGACGCCCGTTCGACTCGGGCTTGGACCGTCAAATGTGATTTTCCGATCCTGGCTTTCAAGTGGCTTTGCAGATTCAGCAGCGGCCAAGCTCACTCCGTCCTTGGCCCCACGCACTGTCGGCTGAAATTCACTTTGACTTAACAATGCGGGTGAGTTTGCCTGCTTCATAAATTGGCCATTAGCTGATGTTCATTCTCCTCCCTCTTATTTCGTCCGCGGGCGCCCCCGGCTTAGGCTTACTCGTGTTCTCTCTCCTACTCCTCCTGCCCGCGTTAACGCGGCGCGTATCCCTGCCGCGCTCGCAGCAAACCCAGCTCCTCTGCCGCCCGGCGTGCACGCCAGTGCGCTTCGCATGCGATCCGCATCTCCTACATGTATGCGCTCGCATCGCACTTTTGCTCGCCACGGCACCCCCTCCGCCCGCCGTGCACGCCATTTTGCGCCGCGGCCGCTCCGCATCTGTGCCGCATACTATTTTGTCCCGCGCGTCGACCATCCCCGCTCCCCGCGCTTTCTCTCGGGCGGTGCGTCGGCGTGCATGCCCGCGTCTGGGCACATCGGGTTTCGCTCTTGGCTCTCCTTTCGTCCCGCCCGTCCGCCTACCTCGCACATCCCCCTGCTGTGCGTCCATTTCGTTTCACAGTTTTCATTGGTATGTTAGCCCAAAGTTGGAAGTACTAGTACTGGCATAAGTCTGCCTCTGTTTGTCGTTGTTTCCCTGATTTTCGGAGCGCGAAGCATCACGTGAACCGATCAGTGCCAGCACACCACGACCATGGTTCCCGTCCCTCAGGAACTTATCGACGCCATCGTCAACGAGGTCAAGGATGTGAAAGGCCTGAAGGCCTGCTCGCTCACCGCGTCCGCCTTCCGCGAGCCAAGCCAGCGCATGCTTATCCATTCCCTAACGCTCTCCGGAGACGCCTCCAGACCTTCAGTCAATGCTTGGTGCGCTCGACTGACGGAATCTCCACGGATCGCTCGATATATCACTACATTCACCATCTATCTTTCATTTGAAGATACAGAGCCGTCTGCGGTCCAAACTCTCCAGACGATCTTCGCGCGACTGACGAATGTCTGCCGATGCGTATTTGCGAGTAACTACGACTTCTGCCGTTGGGAAGATCTTACGCCGGTGGCCCAAATCGTCGTCGATTTCATCAAGACGCAGAAACTGACCGAGCTCAATGTCAGATACTTCGCGAACCTTCCTCCCTCGGTGCTAGCTTGTTTCCTCTCCGCCGCCCCGAAGATATCATTCTTGTATGTTAAGGTCGACATCGATGCCATAGGGGAGCCCTTATCGACTGTGACAATGGCCCCTTCAAAGCCTAAACAGCTGTTGCTCGCGGTGAAGTCCAGGAGGGTCTGCGACGCGCTCACGCGCCCAGAGTTCTCAAGCTACATGTCTGACCTCCGGATATTGGAGGTGCGGCCTGAGCCGGAATATAGGATCGGCATGCTTTCCTCCGCTGCTACTCAACTAGAGCACATTTGCTTCGATTGCACCCGTACGTATCTCTGTCTCAGCATCCCTTTCTCCGTATGTCGAACTCATCCTGACATCAGTTGTTCACTCGCGCTCGGCCGTCCCGCCCCTTTCGTCCTTCATCGGCCTCCGCTGCATCGAGCTCAGAATAGACGTTTATGAATACATGGAGCCGTCGCTCCTTCCTGGCGTACCGTGGCTCCTTTATACCCTGCCAAGCATCCTGAGCGACATCCCCCCGAACCTCGAGGAGATCTGCATAACATTCGTCGGCGCCCTTTTCCCGCCACCGAGTCTGCTACGTCCGGAGACAATGCGCCCGCTCAACAGAGCACTGGCGGCCTGTCCCGCGGCACCGCGTATCCGTTGGCGGCACGGCTTCGACGAGGACGAAGAGCACCTGGCTTTCATCACTGCTATGCAGGAAGGGCTACCCGCGGTGCACGAGAAGGGAAAACTAATCATCGACTGGTACTATTATGAGTCTGGAGATTCTTGGGCGATATCGTTGTAAGTTGTGCTCTTTTCGGTAGTTCATAATTAACACGTCGTTAAACTTCCCATTCAGTTGAAAGTATCAGACGAACAGTCGGCACGCTAGATGGTTTTCAATATTCACTATCTTGATAAGCGCTCAATCTTTATGATGCATTTCTATCTCCCTCCACGATGAACCTGGGTCTTCTCGAGATACGTGTACGCGAGCAAATCCTGTGCCCGTCGAGTCTCTCCTGGTGGCCATTTTATTGAGTATGCTGACGGCATCGCTCAAACCTGTCCGCTCCAACAATCTGACTTGACAGATGGAACAAGGTTCTCTTTGGCATAAGTCATATATCGGCTCTGCAACCCTTCTCTGACGTGTCTGATATCAGTATTTTTCCTCCTCCTCGAGTGACAACAAAAAACGAGCCCTAGTACGTGGCCTCTGGAGTTCCGGTCGATGTACTTTCGGGATCCACCAGCTTTCGGTCTCAGGAAAATAAGGAATGATATGACGTGGCTATGGACACTGCCGAGCGGCAGATTGCTCCCGTTGTTCTTCAGCGCTTACTCTCTATATCCTGTGCCGCTAGTAGAGCGGTGATAGCCTCCATTATGACCTGGTGCGCAGCACGAGCAAAGCTGTTAGCCATCCATGCCCCCAGTCGCCCGCCCACGTACGCCCGAGAGCATCCACAGCTGGTGGTCGGACAGCAACCCAGCGGCGAGCCCCACCATCTCCATCCATGCCGCCGCAAAGCCTCTCATGAGGTTGATGTATCATCGGGATGTGGTGGCATTCATGAAGAAGATTCGCGGGACGCCACTGTCGACCGAGAGCGCGCAGATCTGTGCGAGCTATCTGGGGTATGCATGCTTTCTAACTTTCTGCACCTCGGCTCCTTCTGACGCGTGGAGCCCCTAGCTTCAAATATTTATTGCCATCCACAAAATCCACAATTCTATGGGAGCTTTGTGAGCGCGCGAAGGGTCCAGATGAAGCGCACACCGTGGTGCATTCGCCTATTTTGTACCTCGTCGGCAAATTGCTGGGGTTAGAGGATGTAGAGGTTCGGCGATCGTCATGCTCGATGCTGGGGAACCTGGCACAACAGGAGTGCACGGCAGTGGTGACCGTCGACCCCTGCCCTCGCCTGGTGTCACTATTGCGGTGAGTCTCGATGATTTATGCATGAATGGTATCTTATCAATGTGGATGCAGTTCCAAAGAGCCTAAGGTTATCGAGGCTGCAACCCACGCATTGTATTCGATTACCCAGTCGGCGCCTGGTGCGCAATCCGCCGTTGAAGCCACTATTTTAGACCGCCTGGCAGACCTGCTCCAATTGCCCGACGCCGAGATCCGAAGATGGACATGCGGCATATTGGGGCACTTGGCGTTCCAAATATCGACGACGAGGGCCGTGTCAGATATAAACTCCTATCGCAGGCTGATAACTCTCTTGCGGCGAGTTCATCTTATCGTGTTCTGACAATTTATTAATGGCCCTCGGACGTCAGGGATGACAATGGCGAGGTTGCGGAGAGTGCGGGATGCGCCTTGTATTAGGGTGTTTCAAACATCTGAATTTGAGTCCCAACTTGTACTCCAACTTGTGCCCCAACTTGACCCCAACTCGGCCAAGTTGGGGCTCAAGTTGGGGCACATGTGTGAAACACCTTGGGCTATTTCCTTCCTCTATAGCCTCAACTTGGGCCTTCGCACACGTCGAGGATCATGATCGACACGGACAGATATGGCTTCTTCGCCAGATGAGTCGTCGTCCGAATCGTTGACTATTTCGGGCGCAGGAGAGGGTGGAGGTGGATCATCTACGCGTTTAGGTTTTGCTCTATTTTTGCGGGCTTCTCGAGCACATTTTGCGGCAGCGGGCACGGACACGGGGACGGACTCGGGCTTTGCTTTAGGGGGGCATCGTAGAGTGGGTAGTGCGGTGTAAAGTTTTCACTACAAGTACATAATTACAAGTGCGGCCGAGCGCCGAGCGGCCGACAATCACCGAAAGTAAGCGAAGTTGGGGCACCGAGTTGGGGCACCAAGTTGGGGCAGAAGTTGGATGTCAAATCGTGGGGTTAGGCACGATTTGACATCCAACTTGTGCCCCGAACTATTTGTGCCCCAACTTGCCTCGAAGTTGGGGCTCAAATTCAGATGTTTGAAACACCCTATTGGATCATCCAATCCGACGGCGGCGTACCGGCGGCCGGTGATGCCAATATAGCGCAATCGGTCGAGAACTTGCTCACCTCACCGCATGCTGGTGTCTGCAAATGGTTATGCCTGATGTTGCCCCAACTATCATACCACGAATCTACCAGGTTAAGCAGCTGGAATGTAGACCACTGTGGACAGCTCGTCGCCCTCTTGCAGTCAGTCTCCAATCGTGATCCTGGAAGCTGTTGCTCACCCGCAGTCAGCGACGAA